TGTGTGTGTGTGTGTGTGTGTGTGTGTGTGTGTGTGTGTGTGTGTGTTTGTGTGTGTGTAATAACTATATATAACTATTGATGGGGATAATTTAAATAACGATGATTAGGTGTGCAAGAGATTTTATATGAAAGAGGTTTACTAGATGGAGATGAAGAGAAAAAGAGAAGGGAGAGCAAGACATGATGGGGGAAAGAGGAGGAGCACCCCAACAGAGAAAAGGGGAGAGGGTCAGAAGACAAGAGGCCAAGAGCAAGAGAGAGACCAAGAGAGACCCAGAGAGGGACCATGTGTCAGGTTGTTCTCTTTAAGAGGCAAGATAAGCACGCCTTCCAGGTGTGGCCACCTGGCCAGTGACACACAATGACATCATAGGTTGCTAGGCAACCCAGAAGCAGGTTTGGTTCCAAGATACTAACATTTCTCCCCTTTTCTATAATTAAAAAATGGGCTGCTTTTCATGTAAGGTAAGTTAAAGTATGTAAATTTAGGTTCATTAAAAGCAGCTCTTGGTTGTCAGGCAAGAGGTTAAGAGAGAGAGAAGAAATAATAGCAACAAAATGGTCAGATTCCATGGTCAAGAGGAGGAAGGGAAGCCTCTGCCCTGGAAAATTTCGGGTAGAGGGTTGCAGGTAGAGAGTTGCCAGCCATGCAAGGCAGCAGGTCAGGACTGAGGAACACCCAGAAGCAGGTTTGTTTCCAAAATACTAACAACTATAATATATAAAATATATAATTGTATAGAGTAACTATTACTACTAGTAGTCATATTGTAAGAAGCTTGACCAAATTAGATCACATAACCAAAGGCTGTATAGTCCTACATTGTCCTTCTGAAGACTAGAGATGTGCAGAAACCAATAGCTTCTTAATGCAAGAATCTGGAAGTCTCAGAACAAGAGAGATCAATGATGCAGTCTCAGTCCAAGGCAGAAGGACAGAAAGGACCTGAAGAGTCACTGATACAAGTTTATATTCAAAGGCTGGAAAATATGAAATCTAATGTCTGAGGATGACAGAAGGAGCAGACACCAAACCACCCAAAAAGAGCCCAGCATGTACACAAATTTGAAATGCACCCTTCTCCTTTTTTTGTTCCTAGGTTCCAATCGCCCATAATTCTGAGTATGTCTTGCCTATCAGTTAGAAGACTGACATGCAAATTGGCTCTAGAGAGAGCTTCATAATGCATCCAACAGATACTGTACAGACTTTCTAGGTCTCTTTAGTCAGGTCAGTAACCAAGATCAACCACTACGTTCTTTAAATTAATAGCATAGTCATGACTTATGTGTCCACATCCTGAGAACTGCATCCTGAGGCAAGTCTGTCAGTGTGCAGTCATCAGGCTGGAGTTCCACTAACCCAGCTGGCATAGGTAACTATGCACTTGGGCTCTTTGCCGTGTCCTGTTGCTCCTAGGCTACACTCTGAAACCGCACTCGTGCAGAGTGCTGCAGGCAGTTATGGCACAGTGAAGCATGTGTTTGTGCCCCTGATATAAAGCTGACAGAAAGGCTGAAAAGAATGGAAGCTGCTCTGGCTGAGCAGTGAGTTAGCTGAAGCCTGCGGCAGGAGGGCAGACTGCTGTAGACCGCGGCGGAGCTGTGCACAGGGGTGTTCAAATAAACAAGTGAATACGTAAATGAACGTTACTGCTTCGAACACCATTTGGCATTAGCTTACTATAATCTTCCTTTCTGAGGTTTATTAATTTGTAGTCTATGTGCATGGGCATTTTTGGCTTACATGTATATCTGTGTACCATGTGCACCCAATAACCTGGGAGACCAGAAGAAATTAGTCAGGTCCCCTGGAACTGGAGTTCACACGATTGTTTGCCACCATATGGATGCTGGGAATCAAACCTGAATCCTCACGAAGAGCAGCCAGTGCCCTTAACTGATGATCATATATCCAGTTCTGTTACTATGATTTTTTTTTCCTTGTATACTTTTCATTTTGTACTTTTGTGAGATAAACATTTATTAAACACAGCTGTAAACTACTTTCTTCAGATCTTCACTATGCAAGCCTCTTCTATGTTTGTCTTTGAACCTGTTATTGAAAATTATGACACACGTACACAACATTGGCCTAGAGTCCTCTCCAGCAAGATGGCTACAAATGTGTCCATAATGCGCCATGTGTGGCACTGTAACCACAGGAACATCACCAGGTGCTATAATCCTATGGGCCGCCAGAGGATATGGCACTGCCCCAGCACTGACTGAAAAGCTGTCATGAGTGCATACTGATTCAGAGCCTCTGATGGAAATAATCCATCCCTCCTAAAAGAATTCACTGAGTACTCACCATATGTTCCTATTGTACAAAGCTCTGCAAACTCAAAAACTGGAAAGATCAGGCTACTGCTCGAAAGGAGCTAGCATGATGGAGAGAACACATAAAACATGTAAGAACCACAGCAAGAGAGAGATGGTGAAGAGTGGCAGGAATGGGGATGGCTTTGTGCGTTGGGCAGCTTTTAAATGCAATCAGGAGAGGCACGTTTGCGGAGACATGGAGGCACAGCATACAGAGAGCCTCA